AAATAAATAATTTTAAATGTCTAAAAAAAATGGCTAATAAAATGAACTGAGATGGATCTTCTTCGCGTGCACTGCGAATCATCGGACAAGGCAGAATGTGAGAGAGCCGAAAAGTTCGACGGAGAGTGCTGGGGTGCTGCTCTGAGCTTTTCTTTTTCACAATTTAAATTTGCATATTCTGCCGATTTCACTCACCCTTATTTTCCGTGTTCGACGATGAAGCGCTTCCTCGCGGAAATCCGGAGCTGTAGGGGGTTTTTTAGATAAAATATATGATCGCAAATACCCAAAATATCTCCATAGAAAAAAATGTCAACTTTTTCCTCTCTCCTTCTTCCCTGCTCACCGACACTCACGCTCTACACAAAACGGTTAGACGGCACTTATTCACGTATCTTAGACTACTTTAAAACATATTTTTCTTTAAACCTAAATTTCTTCCTCCCTTAATTCATATTTTTTCACCCCCAATAACCAAGAATTTCCCCATCCCACAAATCGACGATTACGAGTGAGTCTCCTTTGGATGCTTTCGTTACGGCCCCTGCTGCTACCTTTTCTGCTGCATTTTCTACTACTTAAACTAAGACCTGGAATTCCTGTGCGTAAAACTGATTCTCCCAGGCTTTTCCATTTTCATTACTTGCTCGTATATTCCACCTTCCTCGTATATCTTAATATACGAGCATTACCTGTCCGCTTTAAAAACTGTTTCTTCCTCGCTATCAGATAAAGACCATATGATAGTTCTTGGTGATTTTAATTTGCCAGGTGCTGTTTGGTCTTCGGTAAACGAGTCTAATAACCTTGTGCCCATGTCACGACACGACTTTATCGACGGCTTGCTAGACCTATCCCTGTCTCAAGTCAACCATGTGAAAAATTCCTTGGGTCGATTGCTTGATCTGTGCTTGTCTCGGATCCGACCATAGCGTTGTTAACCCGAGCCCTTCCGCTCAGTATACCTGAAGACTCCTACCATCCTACATTCGAAGTGTCAGTCGATATTGGCCCTACTGTATTGGATCGAATGCGTAGGCTATCTGAACGTGTCCGCTGCTTTCGTAAAGCCGAGTTTATGAAGCTTAATAACCTTATTAGGGATTTTGATTGGTCCGCTCTGTACTTGTGCACTGACGTTATGAAAGGCACACACATTTTTTACAATGTACTTGACACATTTTTTGATTCTTGTGTCCCACTTTCTTGTCCGGTTAGATCTGGAAAGCCTCCTTGGTTTACCAAGGAGTTATCCAGTCTAAAAAATTTTAAATCAAGACTTTATAAAAAATTTCAAGAAGTTGGTTCTCCCTCTTCTCTTTCTCACTATGTAATAGCTCGGTCAAATTTCTCCGTTCTTAACGCTCAATGCTATAAAAACTACCTATCTCGATGCAGGATACGATTTTCACAGGACCCTAAACAGTTTTACAGCTTCGTAAATAGTAAGCGTAGAACGTCCGTACATCCATCCTCGTTATCTTTTCTCAATATGTCAGCAAACAATGATCAGGCAATTGCCGATCTTTTTGCCAAATTTTTCCAAACAACCTATTCTCATGAAAGCTACTCTGGTCAGCCGTATCCATACAGTTTACCAAGGTCGAATGGCATCTTCAGCCCCTTGTTAAATGAAAGCTCACTGCTTCATGATCTTCGACTGGTTAAGCCGGTGTTTTCACCAGGTCCCGACGGAGTTCCCGGCTGTGTACTCAGGTACTGTGCCGACGCTCTGTGTGGACCCTTGCTTAAACTATTCACCCTATCCATTAACTCTTCATGCTTCCCCCCCATCTGGAAGGAATCTTTTATGATTCCGCTCCATAAGAAAGGTAGCAAGTCTGATGCAAATAATTATAGAGGTATATCTAAGTTATCCGCTATTCCTAAAATGTTTGAAAAAATTTTAACTCCGCACTTGCAACATCTCTGCAAATCACTTATATCTCCGTCCCAGCACGGATTTATAAGGCGACGATCAACAACCACAAATTTATTAGAGTTTACCTCTTTTATCATTAAAGGCTTTCAAGGTAACTTGCAGACGGATGTCATTTACACTGATTTTAGTAAAGCATTTGATTCTGTAAACCATTCTCTTTTAGCACAAAAACTTGACCTTTTAGGGTTTCCGCCTAATCTTTTGAGATGGATTTCTAGCTACCTTTGTTCTAGGTCTCAAAGAGTCCTCTTCAAAAACTCCTTCTCTTCACCTGTTACTTCTGGAGTACCACAATGCAGCCATCTAGGCCCCCTACTATTCACACTCTTTATTAATGATCTGCCTTCAGTATTAACAAACTCTCGAGTACTCATGTATGCGGATGATGTTAAACTTTGTGTCCAGTATAAGGACATTTCATTTCACTCTCGCTTGCAATCCGATCTCAACAACTTTCAATCATGGTGTTGTGCAAATATATTACATTTCATCGCTCCAGCCCCCTTTTGGCTCCTTATAGCCTCTGCGGTGGTTCTCTTGAGAGAATTACCTTGGTTGATGATCTTGGTGTTAAATTAGACCCAAAGTTAATGTTTTCTGAACACATTTCTACCATGGTAAATAAGGCCATGGGTGTGCTTGGGTTTATAAAGAGGTGGTCAAAGGAATTTGACGACCCCTATATAACGAAGACTCTCTATATCTCGCTTGTTCGTCCGATTTTAGAATACGGCTCTTGTGTATGGTGCCCCCAGTACAAAGTACACCAGGACCGTATAGAATCAGTGCAGAAACTTTTTGCTCTGCGTGGCCTTAACTGGGATGCAGGTGTGAGACTGCCATCTTATCCTCGTAGATTGCTTTTAATAAACCTTCCAACCTTAGTTAGTCGTAGAAAAATGCTTGGTGTGATTTTTATGCACAACCTGATCAAGGGTGATGTAGATAGCCCTGACTTGTTGAGCCGCATAAACTTTACGATTCCTATTAGATCTACTAGAAACTTCATTCCTCTTTTCCTTCCGCTAGGGTACTTTGCTCGGATTTCAATTCCCTCTACCACATAATATCAACTACTAATTCCCTTCCTCTTCTTAAATCACTAATACTAACATACCATTCCCGTAATTAGTTATATTTTTTAGCTATCTTTGCATGTTTAGCGCTTAGAGTTGTGTTTAGCTCTAATTTTCCTCGAATTTTAGTCTAACACCTATCTTTCCTGCATGCTCGCGATCGGTTCGGTAACACGCGTCGCGAGTCATGCGGCAGCGCCCTCGGTCGGTTGGGCGGGAGGAGGGCTGCGTTTCTGCCTGGGTTCCGCGCGTAACAGGCTTCGGCTTGGTGTCGCATGGGCCACTTGATGGTGCAGTCATTGCATATCAACGTCCAGACATAAAACGAAAACGTAGGAAAGCACCAAAATGACACTGCGATCGTCGCACTCTTCGCCTGTTTTTTCTTCGCTAAGGCATCAATCCAATAATTCTATATTTTTGCTGTTATTTTTCCCAATCTTCCCTGACCCCTTTTTGGGTCTCTACGTTGAGGCTGTTTTCCCTCCAGATACTCCTTTTGGGCCTCGTTGCCCCCAGCCGGGCTTTGAATGCACTCGGATGGCCGATCTCCGTTTTTTTTTTCCGCTCCTCCTTCCGCAGCTCGAGCTGCTCCAAAGCCGCACCCTCTGCGGGACGAAAAGTGGCATTTAAAGGGCTGCATCACAATCTTGTCTCCCCGAGCTTACCTCTGCTGGGAATGGGCACTTTACACTTCCAATTTTTCTTTCCTCTCGCTGCTAGTGGTTTCTCCGGTTTGCTCACTTTTAGCACTCTTGATTTTTTTCACTGACAAAGCACTTGCAAAAAAATGTGAACTGCGGCAATCACCTATCCAGGTCGAACGATGAAAACGGGATGACCGAAGCCACGCTGCGAAATCCGCGGGAACCCTCAAGCCTTCTAAAAAGGTGAAATTCGCCTTGACGTTTCCATCTGTTAACCTATCCTTCCTTTCTATGCCCTTTTCTTTGACCCCCAAACCTGAGGCCCAGATGGCATGTTCATCTGCAGGAGCTCTACCATAATGCCCCATAGAGGGCGCCACAAACAAAAATGATCCACCTGATCCAAGCGCTACACCAGCTCGTCTGCTATACAGTTCCCTTCAATGTCCTGGTGGCCCGGGACCCATATTAGGCTGATGACAAACTGATATGCCATCTCATGGAGAGATTTGCGACACGATTTGCCACGGTAGCCGAGCTTGTTGTTATCGCATTCAGTGATTTGATCGCAGCTTGGCTATCACTATAGATATTTATATAAGTTGCCGTAGGGGCACGTTCCTGAAGGCAGCTCAAGGCTTCCCTGATCGCTATGACATCCGCTTGGAAGACACTGCAGGGCTGGTCGAAGGACTACCTGGCCAGCCTGCAGCAGCGGCAGCAGAGGTCTACCGAAGGACCGACCCTCGAGGCAGGATGCGTAGTGCTCGTCCACGAGGACAACACACCGCCTCAGAAGTGGACCACAGGGGGAGTTGTGGCAACGACGGCGGTGGTAGGAGAGTGCGCGTGGCAGAGGTGCGGACTTCCGCAGGCGTTATTAAACGCGCAATACAAAAACTGGCAAAATTGCCAATGGATGGTTGAAGCGCCGGAGGCCTTCAACGGGGCCGGAATGTTGGAGCAGCAGCAGCAAAATAGCGTACCATAGCATAGTATAGCATAGAATAGCATAGTATAAGAGTTATTGGATTGTTACGCTCAGTCGCTGTTACGATCGTTCTGTCTTTTTCTCGTCTCTCGTCACCACACCTAGAACTGCTGCACCGGCGTCATTCCCCCAATATCGTTCCGGGAAAACCATTCCGGATTTTTCAAATAGTAAAAGAAATCCTTGACCCTTACCAAAAGTTGCTAATCAACAGTAACAGTACGTTAAGTAATTGTACTTTATTGTCTGTGATAATTGTTTACTATAAACCTACATAAGGAACCTAAAAAATATCCACATCAACGACTTACTTGGCTACACTTTTTATACGTTTAGCAGAGGAAACCCAGCAGGCTGGCCAGTAGCCTTGAGCAACAAATTCGACTGAGAATATTCAGTTAGTCAGATTCGTGACCGAATCCACAACCTAGAGTCAACTACACATTACAAAATTGAAGCGGTACGAAATAAATTTAAAATAAGATTAAATTCGTACTAAATAATTTTAACACTTTAGTAGCAAAGAGCGACACGAGCGGACAACCGGACAAGAGTGCGGCGCTCAAGGCTAAGTCAGAAGACAGCGAGTTTCTGGATGAGGGGTTCAAGGCCGTCTTTTTTGACTTGGAGGATGAAGAAGAGGGGACCACCAGCTATTCGATAAGCAATTCGCTGTCGGCAATGCCAGGGATTCCAGCAGCAGGCACAGATACACAAGCTCAAGAAGATGGTAAAATCGAAGTCGCCCGAGCAGGACAACATGGCCCAGCAGGCCGCAGAAACACGCAAGAAGCTGGAGGAGGAGCTGAAACGTGCGTCAGCATGGAGCAGCAGCTGAAGCGAGCCTGTCAGGAGAAGCAGCAATCGAAGGATCTACCGGACACTGCGCGAAAAGTGAAAATCGTTAGTCATGTGCTTATACTTCAAGTTAATCACATCAAAAATTTCTTCGATGGAGGCTGGATGCTTGATATCCGACACCACTTGAACAGTGGGCACAGAGGATTGCGAGAATGGAGATACAGTCAGGTTTTTGTTGTAGCGTAACTTCATCTTGTTGCAGGTTTTAGATTATATTTTACGCTTTTTCGAGTTTTTCAAGTTGTTTAGTTTACTTCGTTTCAAAGTAGACTGTAGCTGCTGCAGCTCGCTCTGCAGACTGTTCTTCTCCGACGCCAGCCTTTTGGCCTGCTGCTCTGCATTGAACTGGACGCTCTGTAGACTTTGCTTGAGCTTAGCGAATTGTTCGCGCTGCCACCAAGAGGCCTTGGTGCCGATCCAGCTCCCGGCGGAGCGCATCCGCTGTCTCCCACTTCGTGGACATTCGCCAGTTGTCCTCCTTCAGCCGATCACATTCCTGTTTGAGATTCCTGTCCTCGCTCAATTGCAGCATGTCCAGTTGAATACTCTTCAGCTGGCTGTCGGCCTTCTTCCGCTCGTCCAGTTGCTTCAGCAGATTGATAAAATCATCTGTCTGGCTTTGGGGACTGCCCATAGCCCGAGGCAGCTCCTCATTGAGTTGGCCATTGCGATCAGCGCGACTGAGGCCCACGCGAGTCATATTAATCTTGAGCAAAAGATCATCGAGCGAACTGAGCTCAGCCAGGGTCCCCTCCATGTGGCTATTCAGCTGGGCATTGCTGTGCTCCAAGGTCGCCCGCCTGGCCTCCGGCAGCTTGATGTACTGACTCTGGGCCAGTTCGAGCGAGCCCTTCAGCTCATGTATCTTGACCTCCTTCTCCAGCAGCATGACCTCAAAGTCCGACTCCAGGGCGTTGTATCGCTTTGTGATTTTGTCGAAGTCGATCTGTTTCCTATACAGCAGCTCGCCGCTATGGGCGCATTTTTCATTGAGCTGCTTGCACTGGAGCAGCTGCTTCAGCTTGGACTCCAGCTGGGAATTCCACTGATCCGCCCACTTCTTCGCCTCGCGCAGTGTCCGGTAGATCCTTCGATTGCTGCCGACATCCATAACCTGTAATGCGTAAAATATGTTAAATTACGTTCTATTTTATTGATTGAAATCGTAATCCATGATTTTGATACTCAGTTTAATATTACTAGCTAGTTGACCCTCTCAGCTCTAAGAAGAAGAGGCCCTCTCAGTTGCAGAGCGAGCTGCAGCAGTTGCAGGCGAAATGTGAGCCAGAGAACTGAAGTAGCTGTGCGGAGAAGTTGGCTGAAATTCGCAGTGCTGAGATTCAAATGAGCAGGCTGCAAAAGATCAATAAGAAGCAGGCGAAAGTCCTAAAGGAACACTATGTGGATGTGAACAAGGACTATTCTTCTCCGACGGCAGCCTGTTGGCCTGCTGCTCTGCATTGGACTGGACGCTCTGTAGACTTTGCTTATGCTTGGCGAATTGTTCGCGCTGCTGCTGCAGCTCATAGCTGAGCACATCCTTCTCGTGTGAGGTCTCTGCGTGCGGTTGGGTCAGTCGATCCACCTCCGTTTGGGCAGCCACCAAGAGGACTTGGTGCCGATCCAGCTCCAGGCGGATCGCATCCGCTGTCTCCCGTTTCGTGGACATGCACCAGTTGTCCTCAGTAGCTATTATATAGGCATGTGACTATAGGACAGTGTTAGGCATACACACACAGACAAGAGAAATGAAAACGAAAGTAAACGAACAGTCAAGGTGCTAGGAGGACCTTTTACAGAAAAAACCATTAGCACCATTAAACCATAAACCAATAGAGATAAATGACCCAAAAAAAAAAATAGTGCCGCAAATTCATTTGAAAGGGACGGGATGAAACACTTGCTTGAGGGATGTTTGAATCGTTGTAGGGAACCAATCACATAAGCAGAGAGAGGGATAGTTGTTTGATTCCAGGATTATTGATCCTGGATTTTTTGACAAAGTTAGTTCACATCTTGACCGCTAGATGGCGCCACAAAAGTAGTAATGTGGCAACCCGGATCGCGGCCCTCTGGCAGGGACAGCAACAACCTCGAGACGAGATGGCAGCTCCAGCAACGGTCTCTCGACAAGTTAGCAGCTTCAGCAACTACGACGACACGCGACAAGACATTGTAATCAAATATTAAGAAATAAAGAGTTATACTAAACGACAGATAGAGCGTACATTGGAGTTAAGAGAGCAACTGCAGCAACTTCAACTAGTAAACGCACAGCCAACAGCTGCAAATTCTCAAAACTTAGCTCAAATCGTCATCCCAAAATTCAACAAATCGAATCCGACACTTTGGTTCGCGCAACTAGAGCGCCTCCTTAGTTTACACAATGTGGTGCGCGACGACAACAAGTTTGACCTGGTGTCAGTACAACTGGAGGAAGATGCAGCCCGTGCAATCGAAGATCTCATTACTCGGCCACCTACTGACAACAAGTACGACGCAATGAAGCGTTGGCTGCTCGAAACTTTCGGCGAATCAGAGGATTCGAAAATGAGACGACTCCTCCGGGGTGGCGACATGACTGGGAAGAAGCCGTCGGAGATCTTGACTCACTTGCGTCGCTTAGCACCTGCTAGTGGGTGCGAAGCCGTAATACGAAACCTTTTCTTCACTGAGTTACCTTCGTCGATTCGCCCACTCATTTCGGTTTGGGAGGAGAACGACCTGGACCAGCTGGCAAAGATTGCCGACAAGATGACCGAAAACAGCGCTATCGACTCAATAGGTGTTATGTCGACTCAACCCAAGCCCGCTGAGCAAAGGCAGCACAGCGTGGAGTCGGTAAGTAGCAACAATCCAAATTTAAAAGACGTTGCTGCTGCTCTGCACATTCTAACGCAGAAGGTGGATAAGCTACAACACGACATGCACGCCGCCAAGAAGCCCAAGGTTCCTCAGCCAGTAAATGGCACGAGCGCAAACAATGATGTCAACAATGCAACCCTTTGCTACTACCACATCACGTTCGGTGATCGGGCACGCAAGTGCCGCCCAGACTGCCGATATTATCAACAGTTAAACTAAAGCTGCTACCGCTAACTCAGCTGGTAGGCGGTAGCATCTCAACGACCAGCGACATGTCATCCGGGAATCACGATCACCGACTTCACATCCAAGATCAAAACACTAGTCGGACCTTTCTCATCGATTCCGGATCGGTGGTGTCAGTTATACCCTGCGCCATGGCTCAACGCAAACTTGAGAGAAAGTAAACTGGAATTGTATGCCGCGAACCAGACTACCATACGAACCTTTGGACATCAGGACCTGGAACTCGACCTGGGCCTCGATCGTTCCTTCAAATGGTCATTTGTCGTCGCTGATGTACAATCGGCAATAATTGGCGCTGACTTCCTAGCACAGTTCCATTTGCTCGTTGACATCAAGAAACAACGTCTTTCCAACGGCACAAGCATATCCGTAATCTCGCAGGATTTTGCTTCGCCAAATGACGATAAAACGGAGCAAGGCGAGCACCTACACATCGACAACATGAACGCATCCGATTCACTTTCAGTTCGCCACTACATAACAACAACTGGAGCACCCGTAGCAGATCGGCCCAGGCGACTCATGGGAGAGAAACTATCTGTGGCTAAAGCACAGATACATCAACTAATCGACAACAAAATCTGCAGATACTCCAAAAGTCCATGGGCCAGCCCGTTGCACATGGTAGCAAAAAGCAGTGGTGGATGGCGGGCTTGCGGCGACTATCGCAAGCTTAATGCCATCACCGTTCCAGATCGTTACCCGATTCCCCACATTCACGATTTTGCCGACCGACTATATGGCAAAAGCGTTTTCACTACACTAGACCTCGAACGAGCATACTATCAAATACCGATGGCCCCAGAGGACATCGAAAAAACAGCGGTATGCACACCGTTCGGGCTAATTGAATTCGTAAAACTGCCATTTGGACTGAAAAATGCGACACAAACGTTCCAGCGTTTCATGGATCAGATCTTCCAAGCGGTTGAATACGTCTTTTGCTACATTGACGACATTCTCATAATGTCCAACTCAGTGGAGGAGCACAGACAACACGTGGATAGGATTCTACAAATCTTAAAAGCGCATGGACTTTGCATCAACGAGAAGAAGTGTCATTTTGCACAACCTGAAGTGACGTTCTTAAGTTACACAGTTAACGGTAATTAAACGGAATTAAACCCCCAGAGGATCGAGTCAAGGCGATCACTGAGTACACTCGGCCACAAACTATTTGCGAATTAGGTCGCTTTCTTGGTATAGTTAACTATTACCGTCGCTGCATACCTCATGCGTCAGAGATCCAGGCGCCACTCAACGATTTGACACGCAACATGAAGAAAAATGACAAACGACCAGTGCAGTGGACGCCAAGCTCGATTAAAGCATTCGAAAATTGCAAAAATAGCATAGCTTACGCCGCAACCCTCGCTCATCTCAGTCTTAATGCAGAACTAAGTCTCACTTGTGACGCCTCCGACACAGCCATTGGAGCGGTACTTGAACAAAATACGAAAGGGAAATGGCAGCCTCTCGGTTTCTTCTCCAAAAAACTCAGCGCTACTGAAAGAAGGTACAGCACTTATGATAGAGGCTATAAGGTATTTCAAATACAGGCCAGGATTTTTGTGATTAAGACTGATCACAAGCCGCTGATATACGCCTTCAACCAGAAACCAGAAAAAGCTTCAGAGAGACAGCTGCGACAGCTGGGGTTCATATCCCAACACTCAACTACAATCTTGCATGTGAGTGGCACTGATAACGTGGTTGCCGATGCCCTCTCCAGGATTAACGCCATCACGATGCCGACGACTCTGGACACAAAAGCTATTGAAACTGCCCAGGCAACGGACACCGAGCTGTCTGAGATATTAAATGGCGACACATCTTTAAAGCTACAAGCGATTCCAGTCGACGATGATATCCTATATTGCGATATGGGAACAGGAACAGCTCGGCCATATATTCCCCAGTCCTTGCGATTCCATGTATTTTCAAACGTACACGGACTGTCGCACCCAAGTGGCAGGTCAACTCTAAGACAAATCTCTCGAAAATACGTGTGGCCGTCAATGCGCAAAAATGTTCTGGAGTGGTCAAGGAACTGCCTCCCGTGCCAACGAGCCAAAATTCATAAGCACAACGCTGTGATCCCGGAAAAGATCACCGTTCCC